AGTTCAAGGACATCCTGGGCTACAAAATGAGGTTCAGGCCAGTCTGAACTACATAGCGAGCCTCTATCTCAAAAAATAAGTAAATAAAAACTTTTTAAAAATAAAGATACTGTGAATTCATTTATTTTCACAGATATTTAAGTAAGCCTCAGAGAAAATACTAGGGGCAAATATAAAGATCTGTTTGTGGCTGGAGTCAGTGGTGAAGAACGTACTGCATGTGAGAATCTGAGTTCAATTCTCTATATAAAAAAGAATGTTTGTCTTTAAAAATTCATCTAATCAAGGAATTTATAGGTATCTTCCAGACTAACTTCATTCTCTCATCCTTCCCACACCCCACCCTGGATTCACTGAAAATCTTTGTTTTTTATTCCCCCCTAATTATGACTAACTGGTTTTTCCCATGTAATATCTCAAGATCAGGCTGCTTTCACTGCCACTCGAATGCAATGGAACCACCTCCCAGCATACCCCAGCTCTTTTCACATCTTGACTCCAGGACCTATATTCATTCCAAAAAAGCAAAATACAGTAAGCCAAACAAAAAGCCTACTCAGGTAAGAAGGAACATGGGGGCTGGGGACTTAGCTCATTGGCACAGTGCCTGCCTGGCAGGTGTGAAGTCATGGATTCAATTCCCAGTACCAAAAAAAAAGGAACGTGGTTTTGTGAACTGGTCCTATTCTGAAAAGTTCTTGACTTTAGATTTGCTTACTATAAAAAAAAAAAAAACTAAGCTTCTGGGATAGGAGTTTACAGGAATTCCAGTGCTGGGCATGTGGCCCACACCTGTAATTCCAGCACTTGGAGGCTGAGGCAGGAGGATCACTCCAAGTTTGAGGTCAACCTCAGGTACATAGTGAGTTCAAGGTCACCCTGAGCTACCACATAGTGAGACTCTGTCTAGTAAACAAACAAATGAGGATAACAAAAACCTCCATAAAAGTATGTATCAAATGAAAGGATGCCAGGAAATGCATTTCAAATAGGTGAGGTCACTCTTTCAATTAAAAGATCAGTTTCTGGTATGGGGATGGACTTCCTAAGCAAAAAAAAAAAAAAGGAAAAATTTAACAAGTACAAATCTTCTGTGTATGAAAAATTGTATGTAACCAGTTCCCTTTGATTTGTTTGTGCTTTGAATTCCCTGTAAGACTATCATAGACACTATCAACACAGGCATTATTAGATGCCCAAATGGAGCACAAACTCACAAAATCTTCTAAAAGACAACTGGACAACAAGCAGCAGTATGTTTCCTTAGACACAAGGATACCCCTTGTATAATTCTTCCCTAAAAAAATATGTAGACACTCTAAAATGATTTGTATATGAAGATCATCCCAACAGCATTATTTACAATAACATTATAAAGTACTTACTGTATATCAGGCAGAGAGAACTATATATGTGGTTGTTTCTACCTCACAACAATCTTTTCAGCGGGGCACTGTAAATAACCTTATTTTGCAAATAAGAAAGCAAAGGCACCAGTTAACTAACTCCCCATGGTCAATATCTAGTCAATGGTAAAGCTAGATATCAAACCCAATCCAGCACCAGAATCTGTGATCTTATATTATACTGCCTGGAATACCTATGTATCCCTAAACTTAAAAGGCAGTGTACATCCCAGCACTTGAGAGCCTCATGCAGAGATCACAAGTTCCAGTCCAGCTGGGCTACACAGCAGACCCTGTCTGAAACAAAACAAAGCAAAACTAAACTAAATATAAACCACAGAGTATGGCTTATAAAAAAAAAAAAGGATAAGATACATGTAGGCATGGTGGTGCTCATCTGTAACCCCAACACTTTCGAAAGCTGAGGAGGAAGATTAGAAGATTACAAGCTCAAGTCGAGACTGGACAATTCAAGATTCTGCAAGATCCTGTCTCAAAATAAAAATTAAAAAAGATTTGGAGATCTAGTTCAACCTGGGTTCAATTTCCAGAAGGGGGATGGGAAGAATGCAGTTGAGTGGTAAATTACCCTTGGATCTGATCCCCTGTACCACCAATAAAAAAAAAAAGAAAAAAGAAAAACAAAGATACACACAGGAAAAAAACAAAACAAAACAAAAAAAACCTGCAAGGTACCACTAGGATAGTAACAACAGTTCTCTGGGATGTAAAATTAGAGAAAATTTCAATTTTCAAAAAAAAACTTTTTTTGAGATAGGGTCCTACCACATAGCCCAGGCAGTCCTTGAACTCTAAGTGATCCTTTTGCTTCAGCCTCTCCAGTGATGGTATTATAGGCCTGAATCATCATGCCTGGCCTCTTTCTTTCTCTTTATTTCTTCTTAATGGGGGTTGCACCCAGGAATACTCTACTACTAAGTAATCTTCCCTGTCTTTTTTCTTTTTTCTTTTGGACAAGCTGAGGTTGATCTTGTGATCCTCCTGCCTCAGCCTCGTGAATGCTAGGATTACAGACATATACCACCCAGCTTTTAAAAAATGTTTTTGAGGGGCTAGAAATTTAGCTCAGCGGCATAAGTGCCTGCCTTGCAAGCACGTGGTCATGAGTTTGATCCCTGGTACTGATAAAAAAAAAAAAAAAAAAAACCGTTTTTGAGTAATATTTTATAAGGACAGGCTAGATGACTCACATCTGTAATCCTGGTGCTTGGGAAGCTGAGGCAAGAAAATCACACAAGTTTGAAACCAGCCTAGACTACATAGTGACTTCAAGGCCAGCCTGAACTATATAACAAAACCCTGTCTCAAAAGAACCCATCTAAATTACATAGCAAGACCCTGTCTCAAAAGGAAAAAAAATTATATACTACGATTAAAAAGCAAAATGTAAAATCATAAGTAAAGTCAGACATCAATTCTATAAAATAAACACTATCAAACTATTAAAGGTACTCATCTTTTGGTAGTATATTACTCAGGAATTGAGAGTAATTTAATTTTCTCTTTAACGAACATGCTTCATAATCACAAAATTAGTCCCTAGTTTAGAGAATTGAGCCTATTAGACACATGGCTGAGTACCAGCCTCCTTCCTTCCTCCTTCCAGGAGTCTCAAGACTATTTCAAGATATACAGAAAGAGGCCCTTCTTTTTTTGTCTTGAACAAAGTCCTGAAAGTCAAGAGGCATACTGTACAGTGTGATTCTTTATTACTAATTCCATTCTTTATTACTAATTCCATTCTTTATTACTAATTCCATTCTGGGTCTATTTTTAACACATAGTACATGAGCAAAAAATACAGTGAATAATAAAAAAATTGTTAAAGGATTACATTAAAAGGCATATTGCCATGCCGGGTGTGGTGGCACATGCCTATAGCCCAGGACTTGGGAGGCGGAGGTAGGAGGACTGCTGTGGGTTCAAGACCAGCCTGAACTGCATAGTGAAACCCTGTCTCAAAAAGACAAAAAATAAATAAATAAATAAATAAATAAATAAATGACATATTGCCATTAATGCCCTTCAAAATGTTCCCTTTTGCTTCATTTTGTTTTTTTGAGACAGGATCTTGCTATGTAGCTCATGCTGGTGGCCTTCAATTCACTAGGTAGCCCAGGCTTACCTCAAACTATGGCACTCCTACCTCAGCCTCCTGAGTGCTAGGACTGCAGGTGTGCACCACCATACTTGGATCCCTTTGCATTCAACACAATTATCCCGTCATTACTGCCATTCTCAGAAGCAGTTCTGGAAGTTCTCTTTCACATCTTTCCTTTTAGAACATTGAGGGTGCCTCAGTGTCCTGAATCAATTCAAAATGGTCACTTAGGCTTTGGGGAACAGCCAGAGTTGTTGAATAACCCTGCTTTTCTGCTATATGGAACTTAGGAGCATTTACCATATTTTTGATTGCACCTCATAAAGACACAAATAAGAACATCCAGAACTAATTCAAAAAAATGGCAAGAGGCCAGGGATATGCTCAGCGGCACAGCACCTGCCTGGCAAGTACAAGGTCCTGAATTCAATTCCCAGTGCAAAAAAAAAAAAAAGGCAAGAATGATGGGCTATGTGTGTTCAAAGCAAGAATACTACTCTGAGAAAAAGTAATAGCAATGTGTCTTTTACTATAATAGTTTTTTAACTAAAGTATGTACCATGTGTTTTGTCACACCTTGTGTATACAGCCAAAGCTTTTGCAAGCAGAGACAAGGGAAGAACATAGTATAACTAAGTGCTTCTGGCTAGCACAGTGCTAAGAAAGAGGGCTCTCTGGGCTAGGTAAAGCTTTAGCTCTATAATGCTGGTAAGTTCACAGCAATCTTCTCTCCTTTCTGTGATTTCACATGCAATCCTCTTTCCCATTCTAAAAGAGCAAAAGGAAGACAAACAAAAGGCTACGGGGATCTCTCAACTCCATCCTCAGAAACCTAAATGTCGGTTAGAAGCCATTTTCCTCTCACTGGTTGTGGGCAAAGCTTGTTTACAAAGTTAGTGTAAAACAATGTGAAACACCAACAGGAAAAAGCCATTATGGTGTGATGCCTGCTGCTTACACCAGGCCATGGAGTGGCAGTGGCAGAGAGCTGGGGGGTCTTGGGGGCTGAGGGATACGAGACCTCCACAGTCTAGGAACCTGTCTGCTCACAGATGCCTTCAAACTGGTTTACAATGACAAGCTGAAATTTTCTAAAAATAAATAATAAAGGCCTTGATACTGACATCCCTCTCTGAGTTAAGTCACAACTAGCAATGCTAACACTAATCAAAATGCCTGACCAAAACAAAAAAGACCTGATATAAGACATATACCAACCCTGTCACAGAGTTGGAAACAGAATTCAGGGACATCCCAGAGTTAAGAGACCAAAAGTCATGAACAGATACAAACTTTTCTCATCCCCATCCTTTATGCTTACTCAACTCTCAGGAGCAAATGACTCTGGTAAAATTACTTCAAAGGGTAGCCCTCCCCTCCCCCGAAAGTACAAAACAAATTATTCAAATATGAGGTCTCACATTACTGTGACAACACCCACGTCCCCTCCACACTGAGCCCCCCATACTTACACACACAAGCAGCTGCGAGAAGACGGCAGGCTAGGTAGGGGGGATCACAGCTGGGAAAGGAGGGCTGGATGATGTAGTTGGCGAAGGTGATGGCGATGATGGCCTGACTGGTAGGCTCAACAATTAGCAGTGAGGTCCACAGGCGGATGAAGGCAATGAAACCCCCAAAGGCCTCTAGAATATAAGCATAGCTGGCCCCTGACTTGGTGATTGTGGTCCCCAGCTCTGCATAACAAAGGGCACCCACAACGGAGAAGAGTCCACCAAGAGCCCACACGACCAGTGACAACCCATAGGAGGCAGTGTGTTGCAGCACGCCCTTGGGAGAGACAAAGATCCCTGAGCCGATCATGTTGCCCACCACCAGGCTAACCCCATTCAGCAAGGAGATCTCTTTCTTCAGCTGCATAGTTTCTGGGGACCCTTCAGGTGGCGAGCTGACATTTTCTTCCACCTTGGGCTGGCTGGCACCAGGGAGGAGATGGTAGGTGGGCACGGGGTTCTCGGTCTCCTTGGCTTCCATGGTAAATAGCTGCTGCACACCTGTGTTTACTGTGGCCTGGAAAAGAAAACAAATGCATCAATTCTAGGGCAGGAACCGGCAAAGCTCAGCTTTAGACCTAAGGTAGGCAGGTCCCTTCACGGAGGGACAACATGCTGCACACAATAAAATAGGCCTGTCTGAGTTCCTGCCACAGTAAACAGGCAAATGGACTGTCAGACCTCCACTGCTGCTGAGGAAAAAAAACCGTGAACGCTCGGCATGATCTGATGATGACTTCCATCAAAATATCTCTTACTGCCCTAAGTAGCCTGGCACTGGGTTCATCCACAGCACAGATTCACCTGAGTATTGACTTTACTCTCCTCTTCCTGGCTTAAAACCCACAAACCTGCTCTGCAGAGAAGACATGAATCCCTGCAGCAAGTACAAACCCCTCATTTGCCTGCAAGGCCTCTCATTATCCTAAGTAATGCTGTCTACGCAGTTCTAACACAAAGAGGGTCTCAGCTCTCGAAACACACAAAAGGACTTTTGCACTGCCCAGCCACACACAGGTATACCTGCAACTTCTCACTGGCCAGCAAAGGGCATGGGCAGGTGGGGAGAAGGGCTAAAATTATAAGACAAGAGTATACTGCTGTTGCAGAAAGTGGACCCAAAGGATCTTCACGAAAATACGTATGTTGCTGGGCATGGTGGTACACAACTATAACCCTAGCACTCAGGAAGTTGAGGCAGAAAGATCATTGTGAGTTCATAGCACTCAGGAAGTTGAGGCAGAAAGATCATTGTGAGTTCAAGACCAGCCTGGGCTATGTAGCGAGCCCAGGCCAGCCTGAACTACCATAGACGGGGTCTGGCTATGCAGTTCAGGCTGGCCTTGAGCTCACTTTGTAGCCCAGGCTGGTCTGGAACTCCTAATGGTCCTCCCACCTCAGCCTCCCAAGTGCTGGGATTACAGGCATGATGAGCCACCACACCCGGCTCTGACATAAAATTTTTAAAAAGCCAAGGATGTAGCTCAGTGGTACAGTGCTTCCTTGGCATGGATGAGATTCTGGGTTCAGTCCATAGTATCACCCCACACACACATACCCAAACAGGATCAGTATATCATCTTCTCAAAAGCTCATCTACTCGGCATAGATGTATATGCCTGATCCTGGCCTTACTGAGCTCGAGCAAGGGAACTACAGTCGTTCAAGAGTAAGGAGTTCTCAGAGAAAACTCAAATCTCCACAAACCCTCACCCAAAGTTCATACCTGATCTGCTCAGTCCCCTTCCAGAGTCTGGAACTGAGCCCAAGTAAAAAAGCTCCTCTGGGATACCAGTAGCCTTCCCCAGGCCCACAAGAACTGGGCCAGCCTATCTCTGCTTAGATGGGGCTGTGCGTGCAGGCAGCACCACTTTTCTTTTCTCTACTGGCTCCAAGTCATGCAGGTTTCTCTATGCAAGCTCGTGAGCGCATAGTTGCTGTCACATGTCTGTCAGGTGAGCCCCAGACATCCCTGGGAATAAAACCAGTAAACATGGTCAGGCATGGTGGCTCACGCCTATAATCCCAGCACTCGGGAGGCTGAGGCAGGAGGATCATTTTGAGTTCGAGACCAGCCTGGGCTACGAAGTGAGTTCAAGGCCAGCCTGAACTCATAGTGAGACCCTGCGTCAAAAAGACCAAAAAAAAAAAAAAAAACCAGCAAACAGCTAACAAGCCTTTCTTCTCCTGTAAAAGTCAGCTGCAAAGAGACCAAATTTGCCATTTGACTTTGCCTCTCTGACTTAACTCAACAGAAACAAGCAAAGAAGCCCAGCCCTAGTAACCACTGCAGCTTCCTCTATCCCATCTGACCTCACGTGGAGAACAGGGGCTGGGGCTGAGACTAGGTATTCCTTCAGCCTTCTTCCTGCAGCATTCGTGCAACCTGACACTGGTGTCTCCCATGCGGCTTCATTAAATAAGTCGGATTCACTAGTGAAACTACAGTACCCAATGGCCTTATTTGGAGGAGTAGGATATAGTCACAGATTTCTTGCCTAAAATCTCATCCCTAGCACCTGAATAAGGGACAAGGTCCCCACTGAATTTTTGGAAGGACCCCTCCTTCAGTTAAGGAGAGAGGCAGAGTCACACATAACTAAGAGTAACTAAGGCTTCTTTATCTTCATTCAATAACAAGATATAATTATCACTAGAAGCCTGTCCTTGGCCAAAGGAATTAGGAGTCCTTATCTCTTTGGTAAACACCCAGGCACAAAGTTATGATGTAACCTCAGTGAGTGCCCTGAGAACAGGTGGCTGAGTCCCAGGCTGCACTGCCCACACAACCCTAAGGCCATGCTTTACTTCTCCTCTGCAAGGTGTGATCAAATATCTAGGTGAATGTTTAAATTTTTTAAAAATGTATTACAGAGAGGCTGGGGATTTAGCTCAGTGGCATAAGCGCCTGCCCGGCCAAGTACAAGGTTGCGAGTTCTATCCCCAGTACCAAAAAAAAAAGTAGATAATTAAATAAAAAGTTTTATAGTAAAAGACAGTGCCATTAAACTGCCTCAGGTTACCCCTTCTTGCATCAAACATTCTTGCCACTTTTTAGAGCACTATTGGAGGTCCTCTTTCATGTCTTTTAAGATGTGATCAGTGGGGCATGGTGGCACATATTTGTAATTCCAGGGCTCTGGGAGGCTGAGGCAGGAAAACTGGAAATTCAAGTTTAGCCTGCACAACTCAGTGATTCAGTGAGACCCTGTAGCTCAGTGCATTAAATTTCAATCACACACACACACACACACACACACACACGTGATTAAAAAATATATAGCAAATGCCGCTACTGAGTGCCATCCAAAAAGGCAGACTCAAAAACATTATGGTGTGTCCTCATCCACCTTGTTCACCAGACCCGGCATCGTGTGACTTCTGGCTCTTCCACAAAGTCAATTCGATTATGACAGGCAAACATTTTTAATTGATTCTGGACATCAAAGCAGCTAGGACAGCACAACTAAAATAGTAACTGATTTGAGGATAAGAATATGCAATGTGTGTGTATGCCATTTTTACCCCTAACTATCATGTTTTGAAATTTTGGGGGTTTTTTTGCCTTTAAAATTAAAAAAAAATTTTTTTAAAGACACAAATTAAGATTTCCAGAACTGTTTCAGAAAATGGCAAGAACAGGATATGTTCAGAGCAAGCTGGAGTATTTTGAGGGGAAGTAATGGCACTATGTCTCTTACTGTAATAATTTTTAAAATTTAAATATTCATCAGTTTACAATCACACCTCATACAACTCTATAAAAGCACCGATATTAAGCCAGGCTCTGTGCTGAGGACAGAGTTAATAGCATCAGTACAGACCACGCCCTCACAGAGCACACAAGGCAGTACAGCCAGGAACTGGGAAGCATGCAGAATCACAAGTCCCCTAGGCAGAGACCAAGGTGCCCAGCAAGCTGCACCTCACCCTTCATCTTCCCAAACAGCCTCATTGACTCTTTTTTTGTTTTTGTTTTTGCTTATTTTTGTTTTGAGTCCAGGCTGGCCTTGAACTCATTATGTACCTCAAGCCTTGAACACGCTGCAATTCTTTTTTTGTCTTTTTCCTTTTTATCGGTACCGGGGATCGAACTCACGACTGCCTGATTGCAAGGCAGGCGCTTATGCCGCTGAGCTAAATCCCCAGCCCCGAACACGCTGCAATTCTCTTGCCTCAGTGCCCTGAGTGCTGGGATAACAGGTGCGCACCATCAAGCCCAGCTAGCCTTACTGACTCTTTGTGAGCATCAAATTAGGCAATATAAAACTCTTCAATAAAATATGAAACCTTTGTCAGCAGGGTTATCAATGCTGCAAAACACATTCTGGAAGCAAACAGAAGGAGGAAAGAAGAGAAGTAAGCTCATTTTCACTGAAAGACAAAAAGCTAGTGCAAAATGAAGCCCTCGACTTCTAGCTTCCACTTAGAATAGAGAAAGGTGGAAAAAAGGTGGAAAAAACATTGTTCTTGCACCCGTGACATGAAAAAGCCAGAAAATTTATAAAATCGTAAGTTTTCTTTTTTTTAAAAAGCAGTTCAAAATTTATTTGAAAAAGTAAAAATAGGGCTGGAGGTTTAGCTCAGCAGTGTAAGCACCTGCCTGGCAAGCATAAGGTCACGAGTTCAATCCCCAGTACCCAAAAAAGTAAAACTGAAAAGTGAGAGCAACTGGCTCCGCAGAGCAAGTGTGTGCCACGTAAAAGAGAAAAAAAAGCAATATGAAAGTGCAACCTGGAGGAAGCAGGGTGGGCTACGGTAAGGAAAGTCACAATAGCCTAAAACCATAATTTTTTTTTTTTTTTTTTTTTTTTTTTTTTTGTCTTTTTCCTTTTTATCAGTACCGGGGATTGAACTCACGACCGCCTGCTTACAAGGCAGGTGCTTATGCCGCTGAGCTAAACCTCCAGCCCCCAAACCATAATTTTTTTTTAAACTACCATAAAGCAGGTGTTATAGGCAAATGCACTAGACTAAAGTTGAAGAGAAGAGAGGCAAATTCAAGGAGCGAGAGAAATTCAAAACTCAGTTTACCTGTGTAGTAGGAAAAACAATAAGATCACTATGCAACAGGTAAGAAAAATCAAGTACAATTTTCAAATAATTAGCCGAGCAAGGTGGTGCACACCTGTAATCCCAGCAATCTGGAAGGCTGAGGCAGGATGATCACAAATTCAAGCTCAGCTTGGACAACTTAGTGAGACCTTGTCTCAAAATACAGAGTAAACAAAACAAAACAAAAAAAGAGCTGGCGTTATATCGATCTCACGTACTAAAAAACAAAAAAAAAAGAATAAGCCAGGCGTGATGGCGCACACCTATAATCCAGCACTCAGGAGGCAGCAGGAGGATCTGCAAATTTGAGACCAACCTGGGCTACAAAGTAAGCTCAAGGCCAGCCTGAACTGCATAGTGAAACACTGCTTCAAAAAAAGATGAGAAAGGGGCTGGAGATTTAGCTCAGCGGCATAAGCGCCTGCCTTGCAAGCAGGCTGTCGTGAGTTCAATCCCTGGTACCGATAAAAATGAAAAAGACAAAAAAAAAAAAAAAAAAAAAAGATGAGAAAAAAGAATATATACTGAGTTATAAACCCCTGCAGAAAGGTTGTTACTCTCAAGGCAGCTGGGCCAGAGGACAAGAAAAGAAACCCTTTCTGTTTGGGAGAAGGTCAGGAAATTTTAATGAAGACCATTGAAAGTATCTTCCTAATGAGAAGGAAAGAATCATCCAGAAAGATTTGCCCTCCAAAACTCAAGGACACACTCCCTAAAATTAGGGCTGACCCTGGATGACAGAGAACCTCCTTATTCTCCAGGACCGGGTTAGCAAGTACCCAGGCACACGCAATGGCAGCCTCCAGCTGCTGCGAAAGCAGAGACTACACCCAGGGAAGAGCTAAAGCTGAGGTAGAGCACAAACCAGAATAGAGCCTCCCTTCCAACTATGCAGACCTACATGTTTAAAGAGACACCAGAGGAAACTAAAAGTGCGGTTCTCTACAGAACCATAGAAACAACAAAGCCCCATACACAGTTCTAACCCAAACTGACTCAAACCCTCATACCAACAACTTAGCAAAAGAGGCATACTGGCTTTCCAAAGTAAATTCCTGTCTCCACTCCTCCACTGCCAGGCAGTCAGTAATAAACTACAAGCAACACAAAAAGGACAAAAACAACCCACTCTCAAGATGCAAGGTAATCAATAGGCCCAGACCTAGGGATGACTCAGATATTTAAAACAGCAAACAAGTAATTTGAACTATGATGGGGTACAGCTCAGTGGTACAGCATTTGCCTAGCACATTTGAGGCTGTGGATTTAATCCTCACTTCTGCCAAGAAATAAAATAAAATAACTATGATTAATACAATATAAGCTCTAATGAAAAAGTTAAACAGCAGGTGGAAATAAATGTGGAATTTTAAAAAAGAAAATCATAAAAGTAAAATGGAAAGAAATAAAACATGGGCAAGCACCTAAGAGATTTAGGATAATCTCAAACAATCCAAAGTAAATACTTGTTTAAAACAGTTTATCAACACTCTGGAGACTGAGGAAGGAAGATCACTGTGAGTTCGAGGCCAGGCTGGGCTACAAAACTGAGTTCAAGGCCAGCCTGAACTACATGGCGAAACTCTGTCTCAGATTAAATTTTTTTTTCTTTTGTTGTTGTTTTTGGATTTTGTTATTATTATTGTTGTTTTTGGTTTTTTGAGACAAGGTTTCATTATGCAGATTAGGCTAGTCTTGAACTCACTATGTAGCCCAGCCTGGCCTCGAACTCACAGCGACCCTCCTGCCCCAGCATCTCAAATGCTGGGATTACAGGTATGTGTCACCCCACCTGGCAAAAGTTGTTTATTTTTAATTGCTTAAAATATAATTGATGGCCAAAGCAAAAGCAGTAGCAATAGACTGGATTTATAGCACATGTAAAAATAAAATATCTGATGGCAATAGCACAAGAATAGGAAAGACAAACAAGAGAATACTTTTACAAGGTTCTTATATTACATGTAAATCGATATAGAATTATATAAAGGCACACTGTTAATAATTAAAGCTTTACCAGACTGAAGGTATAACTCAGTGGAACACACTTGCATAACATGCAAAAGGCTATGGGTTCAATCCCTAGTGTGATAAAAACAAATACAGGCACACATACATACATTGCAAACCTAAAACAATCACGAAAAGAAAGCAAAAGAGAAGACATATAAAGAATAATCCAGCAATAGAGATAAACAGAATCAGGTGTAGCTCATGCCTACAGTTGCAGCACTTTGGGAGGCTGATTGTAGCAGGATTGTAAATTTGAGCCCAGCCTAGGCAATTTAGGAAGACTCTGTCTCAAATTAAAAAATAAAAAAGCACTGAGGGTACAGTTCAATCTGAAGGCCCAAGATTCGACCTTCATATTGCAACAAAAACAAAACAAAAAGCCTATAATCATGAAAAGTAATCCAAAAATAGTCAGGAAAAAAGAAAAGGGGAACTAAAAAGATATAGAACAAATAGAAAAACTAAGGTGGTAAATTTCTTACACTAACTATAAAAGATCTAAACACATCAAGTAAAGCACAATATCAGACTAGGTTAAAAAAAGCAAATCCCAGCCAGGTGTTGTGGCACTCACCTGTAGTCCCAGAAACCAGGAGGCTGAGGCAGAAGGATCATCTCAAATTTGAGGCCAATATGGCTACTTAGTGACTTCAAAGAGAGCCTGAACTACATAGCGAGACCCTGTCTCAACATACATACATACATACATTACCCAGCAGGATATTTTTCTTTGTAAAATCTAAATTTTACATCCCCATTAGAGGCATCCCTCAATTACTGAGATTTATCATACTCACAAGGACAGTATGAGTGAAGCAATCCATTCACACTTCATCAGAAAATTACTCTGGTCATCTCAAATCATGTGTGTCTGGGCAGCTGCTGCTCCCCACCCTCCTAAATCCTGGGAGCACTGTTTGCATAATTTTTGTAGAAACAGATTCACAATTTAGAGACTTAAAGAGGCAAAGAGGTCATCAAATAGAAGAAAAAAAAAAAGGAAAGGAAAAGAGAAAGAGGGGAGTAAAAGGAGGAAGGGAAAGCAAAAATACATTCCAGAGAGATCAGACTCATAACTGGCATATACTTTTAGCCTGCAATAAAAATATGCCCACAGCCAGATAAGGAAAGGAGTGTAAAAGCAAGGAAGATAAAAGAGAAATCAGACCTGTGGTTTCCCACTTTTGCCAGGAAAGAAAAATCAAACTTATCAACTCAATAACAGTCTGTGACCAAATTCAGGAAGTAAAAGCCATCCACATACCACCATAGTGGAACAACAGTAATGCAAGCAGCCTGGGGAGTTTCTCAAAGGTCCCCACCAGGCAAAAAGAGGTGAAAATGACCTCAGGAAGTAGTCACAGGTTTAAGTTTGCTCCTCCTCCATCTTCAATAAGGAAGCAGCTCTCAGAAATAAGGCACCGGAGGGCTGAACATTCTGCCACCACGCTGCTGGATTAGCTGGCTGGGGCAGTGTTCCCCCGCTGCATCTAGCACCAGAGAGAGACCGAATTCTTTCTGACTGTGTCACTAAGCACACTGTTAAGTGCCCGTGAGAGGTTCTCCACGACATCTGTTAAGCCAAATGTTGATTCCTATTTATACTGACCATTACACAACAAGGTGACCAGAATGTTGGCTTAATGCTCAGTGGAGAATGTTCAAAATGTTTTTCAAAATATCTCCTGGTATTTATCTTGAGATGGTCAAATGTGATACCAAGACACACAGATACGCTCCGAGGAGTGGCAGTAAAGAGGAGCAGCCTGTTCCTGAGCTCTATGTCCAGACCCCAGCAGACTGCAGCAGCCTCAGGAAGCTTAGTTTCTGCCCTGCACACTCACCCCTTGCACCCTCAGCCCTGCTCAGGCTCACAGGGTTGCTTGCCCGCCCCCCATCCCTGGTTATTCACTCAGGCTCTGTCTCACAATTCAGTCTTACACACTCAGTCTCTCTCACACACCAGCTTCAATGTCACCATCTCCCTCACCCTCGGGCTCTCACACACCCAACAATCACGCTCACAACCCACAGTTTTTCTTTCACAGACGAGCTCCCTTACACTCGGGTTCTCACACACTCCCCAAGTCACCTTCACACCCACGCTTTTTCTCTCTTCGCACACGTGGTCTTCTCCACACTCACAAAGCCACCATCAGACCCCGGGTCTCTATCTCACACACACAATCATTCTTACACACGCAATCGTACACGCGGCGTGTCCCTCTCGCCTGAACTCAGTCCCCACCTTCCAAGTCCTCTTTCCACTCCCAGTCTCACCCTCTGGTCAGCGGCGTCCCCCACGCGGAGAAGGCCGGGCGACCCCGCGCCGTTTCCGGCCGGCATCCCGCACGCAGCGGCGGCTGCGCGAAGCGTTCGGCTCCCGCGAGGCGCGGTCTCAGCCCCGCCGGGGTCCACGTCCCCTTGTCCCGGAGTCCCTCGCGCCGGGCAGCCCGGTTCTCCCGCGGCCCAGCCCGTTACCTCCGATGACCAGGCGCGCTCAGGATGCTCCGCCGCTGCGTCGCCAAGGCTGCCAGGCCCCGCCCTCGCCACGTCACCTGCCGCCGGATCGCGACCGTGCGCGCCGCGTCGAGACAGGACTCGGCGCCAGCGCCCCTGATGGTGTCGCTTCCGGACTCCAGAGGTCGCCGCAGCCCCAGGCTGTGCTAACCTCCAAGCTCATTGGCCGTCCCTTGGCCCAGGACCCTTGCTCTGGATGGCCGCTCTCTGATCCTACGCAGGATCATAGGGGGTCTCCGAGGGCCTTCACCCGGGGATGCACATGTGCAGAGCTCTAAAGGGCCCCACATTTTGCTTCCATCTGGACTTTGGCCAGCTCCAGACCCATGAGGACCCTAGGTAGTTTACACCAGGAGCTCCAACCTCCACCCCCAGGTCATGGCCAGCCCTCTACCTAGGTACTCCTGGAAGATGCACACCCCTAGGGTTTGTCCTACCACGCTCAGCTCAGTGTCAAATCCACGGAGGCCCGCAGACAGACACTGTGGACTTCCTTGGCCAACCTCAGGCCTCCCTGGGACTCTGATCTCATTTTGCCTGACCCTAAAGACACCCCTCTTGGGAGAGCTGTGCCCTCCTTCCTGTCCTGTTCCTTCCTCTAGCTCCTATTAGGGCTTCTTTTCCCGTGGTACCTCCCTGATTCTGTCTAGGCCTGCTGATCTCATGGGCTCTTGGGCCCTCCCGCTTCCTTTGGTGTTCTATATACATCTCACATTCTTATGCTTTCCTGGGCTAGTCATTTCTCTCAGCCTTGTGCCCACAACTGCATATCCTGTGGCTCTACACCATACCCAAAACCTTGCTTCCTTCCACCCAGTGGCCCAACCAGGGAGGCCCCAGACTCCTCCTCTTCTTCCTCTCCCCCAAGGCCTGCACCCCATGGTTTCATTCTCCCCAGCTACAATAGCTTCCCAATCCTCACCTGTGCCCTCTTAACTCGCCCTCCTCCTCAGAGTGTGCTGCTAAAATACAGAAGAATGACTTTATATCTCCTCTGCCTAAAACCCTTCCACTCTCCTCCCTATAGGCCTGGGATGACAATCCTTGGGAGTCCTCTGCTGGTGCTGCCCTTGGTGCGCCCTCCGCTTTAGTATGTGTGTACATGTCTAGGTCGGTAAAGTCTGATTTTGCATCTCTTGGACTGGCTCCTTCAGTCTTTTTGTTCAGGCAGAGGGACCATGTTACTCAATGGCAGCCAGTTAACTTGTCCTTGCAACAACTTCATACAGAAACCTGCTGACTACTAGACTGCTGGCTTTGCTTTCTCACACTTACACCAGCCAATCAGTTGAAAGCCTCCAGTGCACCATGCATTGTCTGATGTTTTCCAAAATCATCACCACTCCCATGAGCACCCTGCATGTGTTTATCTTTATCCTTCAGATGAGGAAACTGAGGCTCAGAGGGGTCAGGAGCCTCCTCAGGTTACTGGGCTAGAGCTAGTAGGGCTAGGATTTGAACCTAGAAACAGCGGTCCCGAAGCCTTCTCTGACTCCATGCCCTCTCTGCAGCTGTGAAACCCATGGTGGCAGTGGATGGCTACAAGGCCACCACAAATAATAGCATGGGTGGGAGGGTGTCAGGTTGGGGAGGACCTGGACACGAGGCTTCCTGTCATGCTGTCACCCTTTTACCAAGGCCAAAGATGCAAAACCTGTGTACCCTTTGGCATCCTCACCCCCTTTCAAAGCCACTCCTTCCTTCCATACCCAGCTAACACTCTTATAGGCATTGTGGTGAGAAGATCCAAAGTGCCCTCTAGTGGCCCATGTTGTATTAAAGCCTGAAGTTCAGGCTGTTGTTACTCAGTGGAGATAGGAAGGCTCCAGCCTCTGCACCCTAAAACGTGGCCTGGGACCCCATTCCTATGCACGGTTCCATCTCAGACTCTCTTCATACATCTCCATCTGGTTCTATCTCTTGGTCCCTGTCTCTACCTGTCTTTCTCTGCCCCTAAATCTCAGCAGTCTCTTTTCCTTCCTCAGGCTCTGTCCCCAAAGGGGAACCTATGGCAGACAGATGAGCTAAAGAAACTATGAAGGGTGGCATCTGAAACCCGTCAGCTGAAAGAGGACAGAGGCCAAGGGTTAAGTCCAGCCAGGGTGACCTGTAGGACTGGCCTTGCCCCCAAGCAGTCTGGCGGGAACAGGAGTCATGCTTTGGTACTGAGATAAAGGTCCAGTCTGATACCCACCTCGCTAGTGCCCTCATACATCCACCACCTGTGTTCTCCCACACTTACAGCACATCCAAGACTGGAATACCTTACAGCATTCAGAATACTTTTATTGCCAGACTCGAGGTACATCCTGCTCAGACCCCATATGGAGCCCACCACTCAGGACAAAAGGAGACAGATGCTGGGCATATACACAACAGCAAAATCCAGCTTCAAGAAACCTTGGAGGAGAGCGGCACAGTGCCTGACAGCAGCTTTGGGGCTTCAATTTTGAGACTGGACCTAAGACTCACCTTCTGGTCAGGTACCCATCTAAAGCCTGCCACCAAATCAGGATCAGACTGTCCATCCCTGCTATTAAGGGGAGACCCATCCAGCCTCCCCATGTTAGAAAGAAAACCCAGGGAAATCTAGCCTCCTGGCTCTCTCAGAGGCTCACCCCAATCTCTCGGTTCATCCCTTTATTCTAAAAACCCCTGACCTGCTTAGTGGGTAAAGGTAATGAGCAAGTGCCCCCCACCTCTCAGCCCTGTACCAGCCCAGCTGGGTGCTGAGACGATATGGCAGAGTGGCAGTGGGGTTCACAAGAGGGCAGCTCAAGGCAGACAGTTGCCTCGCAGTTCCCTTTTCCATAGGTACCCAGAGTACCATGGCACTAGGCCCTGCTCTGAACCCCAGAGCAGAGCCAAGGGAGTCAGATTTTTTAATACTGGGACCCCACAGTACAACCAGAGGGATCAAGGCCCCTGGTGGCCATCTGCTGCCCAATCAAGAGCTGGGCTGCTACTGCAGGACAGAGAGGTAGGAATGAAGTGAATGCCCCAAGCCCTGGGAGCCATGGAAAATAAAATTGCCCCTGCCTGCAGGGGGTACCAGGCTGTCCAACAGTTGAGGCCACAGGGAAGCCAGCAACTTCAGCCACCCATGTCTAGTAGCAGGCCTGTATGAGGCCGATGCATGGGAAGGGTCACCTGAGGGTCACAGAGCTCAGCACAGACCTCACAGGAAG